TCAATGATCCGAACTGTTTATTTTGTAAGTCTCAATTCATAGATCATCCTTGCAAAAATTCAATTCAATCCGAAACCATTTGCCTATTTAATTATCAAGATCAAATTTCATTTTTTCTTGTATAACAAAGTATTCACTCATTTATTTGAACAAAATTAGATATCTTAAATATTTTCAATTTGGCTAATATTTTGCAAGAATGATCTATGAGGTACAACTTAAAACATAGACAGTTCGAATCATTAAAATTCGAAGTGATGTGAACCCCACAACTAATTTTTTTTTTATAAAAAACTAGGGATCCCTTCTTAAGGCTCCCTCTATATACATATATCAAAGGTTAATATGCAGCAATGTCCTGCATACCACAGAACGTGTAACCCCAAGGCCAACGAAGCACGATATGTAAATCTTTTTGGGCCTTCATCAGTCCACTAAACAGTCTAAATCTAATAATTAGCCAGGACCATTGCCTGAATGTATTATTTAGTACAACTACAATATCCATTACGCCACCACTTCTTAATCTTACGTCCAATATTTTTCACCAAGTACATGTCATGTTATTCTCTTATTTAATGAGAAGAAAAAGAAAAAAAAAAGATTTCTCAAATCTCATTCTTGTAACTGTGTTTATTTTTATTTTTGAATTAATTTTTTTTGAATATACGATATTATATACATTAATAAAATAGGAGAATAAAATAAACTTACAATGAGCTAACAATAATGTGATTCAAATTTGCTTATGGCGAGAATTAAACCGTAGACCTCTCACTTATAAGTGAAGAATAATACTACTAGACCGTAGTACTAAGTAACACTGAATCAAAATCAAATAAAAAGAAAATTAGGTAATAACACAAATATAAGCTTACTTTGTACCTCATTTAATTTTAATAAGTAAGACTGTAGCTAATGTGTGCAGAGATTATGGATGCAAGTTGGATAGGAATATCCATTTCTGATTGATTTTGAGTAGAAATATTTCAAATATTCAATTCGATTCAAATTTGAAATTGAAATTCGGAAATCCAAAATAACCCAAAAAGAATATTATACAGGAATTGGAGTGTATATTTAGTATTTCGAATCAAAACCGAAATTCAAAGACTTGAATATCTCTATTACATATACTTAATTATGTACTTATTTTATTACGAAAAAAATGAACTTATTGACTTTGAATTTGTAATACAATGTACTCAAATATGTAACTCTTTATTTCAATTACAACTTTGTTGAATATATTACATACGAAAAATGAGAATTTAAAAACTATAGTACTTTACATTATGAAGTCATACAACCCCATAATTTGAAAATTTGAAATAATCCGATGCCGAAAAGACCGAATTCGGCATGAGTTTTTTTAAAACTTTGATTCCAAAATTGAAAATGACATGCATTTTTAAAACTTTTTGTATTGAAATTTGACACATGTATTTTCGATCCGAGCGATAATCACACCTAGTAGAAACACATCTATCATTTAAGATATAAACTCAGTAAAAGAAGTTGGTGCCCATGACCATTTACATGGCATGCATTGACATGACCTCCATGTGACATTTAATCGGTGTGTTATCTGGTACAGTGCAGCAAATATATATATAGAAGCACCTATATACAGACATACACATTCGGAGCCGTTGGAAAATGACGCACAAAGTTGCTTGCTTCATGCTTTGTCTCTGGTTCAATTGAATGCATTAAGCAAGAGTTGGTGAGTGACCACCATTAAATTTTGAGTCCAATGTCAAAAACCAAGTAAATCAAAAGAGAGAGAAACTTCGAATTTTTTGAAACATGAGAAACTTACAACAACTACGCCAAGTCTTCTGTAAGAGATGAGATAAAACCCTAATGAAACCCTAAATGCCAAGGAGGAATCACGCATTTGTGAAAGAGGGAGGTGATGATTCAGGTGAATATGTACGGGATTATTTTCTGATCACTAATTTGTCCAGAGGGGAACAAGTCTCGTGAAGCTGGAGAGGCTAGTCACGGAATCTGACGGGATAGGACATGGTGGTGGGCTTGACCATTTCTCAGGGAACATGCATGTATGTCTGTATATATGTTGGAGAATAATATCCCCTGTAAGATTTGAGTTTATTGGTATCACCTCCCAAAAAATATGAAAAAAGTTAAAAGGACTACTGTGTTGTCCGAACTTAGTCCGAAGTGCATTGCAGTAGAGTGCCATGGGGTGTGCAGCAAAACAAGTGACAGCTGAAAGAGAGAATATTACCACCATTTCTATCTTGAAGGAAATTGGTAAACTTGGATTTCAGTGACCTATACTTCGTAGATGGTTTGAAAGTTAGGTTATTTCACTCTTAAAAAACAGAAGACCGGAGAACAACAACTTGCGCAGATATATCGTTATTGTGATGTCCTATGCTAATGATATAATTTTATGTGGAGAAAACTTACTCATGATAGTATATCATTGACACATAACGATGTACTATGATGATGTATCCGTGCTATAGAATATTTTCTCATGTTCTACAATATGCCTAATGTGAAAAAACACTTACTTTAAGTGATGAAATTGACAAGCCATGATTATAGACATGAGTTCATTCAAGTTGGCTGGACCAGCGTGTTACTTTTCTCACCTAAATTGAACTCCCTTTCTTTGTGATTGGATTAGGATATCGTTCAGATAAAAATAATAAAAACCCATGATTGATTAATCCGTGAACGTTGAGAAAAACATGATCAAAAGGAAACAAATTAGCCAACTATGGTGCTTGGAATTTCAACCTTGTGTGCATATAAAAGTTCCATTGGGCCTAGTACATACTTTTGCTCCAAGCTTCAATAATAGTTCATAACTGTTGCCCTTGCTGATTTCACTATCTTTTTTACGGCAGTAGTACAAATAACAGTTTGCGTAACGAAGCATGGTTCGTCATGCAAAGTCCAAAAATGTCGCAAGAAAAATTAGCCCAACGAAAATTTTGTCGCGCGCAAACCGTCGCACAAAGGTCATGAAGACAGGGTTTGAGCGACAAAGGCATAACCTGCGTCGCTCAAAAGATCTTCGCGCGACGACAACACATGGGTCGCGCAAGGACTTTGCACAACGATGCGTTGGGCAAAAGATCTTTGAGCGACGACAATACCTGCTTCGTGCAAAGACCTTTTGCGCGACGACAATACTGCGTCGCGAAAAGACCTTTGCACAACGACATACCTACATTGCGCAAAAGTTTTTGTGTGACACAAGTATTGTCGTCATTGCGCAAAACCTTTTTTTCTTTTTTTTTGACAAAAATATTTTTTATTTAATTTTAATTAAATTATAAACAATAATTAATAAACCAAGAAAAAGTATTTAATTAGAAAATATATGAAAATGTACATACAGGCTGTCCAAACATAAAAGAAAAAAACTACAACGAGTAGTCGTCTGGGTTTGATGCATCAAGCTACAGGGCATCGGCTGGGTGAAGTGGTTGGGAGGTCGAAGGTGGAGCAAGATCAGGTGTTGGCATCGAGATATGGAGGCCGGACATTTGTAAGGCCCATAAGATCATGCTCATCTTCTAGTCCTAGGCTGAAAATTAGGCTACGATCTGGGCTTCCCGAGCATCCCGGGCTACTTCCTGGGACGTAATCTTATCATTTAGGGTTTCCACTTCCTTCTTCAGGGCGATGACTTGTCATGTGGTCGATCTGGAAGAGGAGGCACCTGTCTCACATTACAAAACAAACTATCGTTAGCGAGGGTCAAATGTTGTAGAAAAAGACATTCAACCTCAATAATAAATAGAAAATTGCACGTATATAACCCACCTTAAGCAGAATTTGTGTCACATCCTCATAGCCAGTCATATATTCCTCAGTCAGATTATCAACATAAAATATGAATACAATGAATGAACTCGATCTTCAATTTAAAATATTTACACTAGTGGATACCACAAAATCTTATGTTATACTTAATGAAAGTATAAATAAACTCTAAGTGTTAGTGAATCTATTGTTTTAATGGGATATGCATTCTACGAAACTAGTTTCAACGATCCAATAGTCAAACTTGTTTGTATATACTTCGAGATCGCATAGGCCAAAATTCGCAAAAAACAAACATTTAGAGATCAAGTAAGGGGACAAAACTTTTCGATGAATATAAACTAAAAATCATGATTTAACGGTTATTTTAACTTCGATTTTGATGATTTTTTTTACAACTATACTCCTTGACTCTATGTGAATACAATGAACTAATTCGATCGCTATTTTAACTCCAATTGCAATGATTTTTTTTTTAGAAAATTGCGCGACGAACCAACCACGTTGCGCAAAGGGTGTTTGCACGACAAATTTGTCCGTTGCGCAAAAACCCTTTGCGTGACATGCATTTAGTCTGTCACGCAATTTTCTGGGGCCAAACCAAGGTTTTTACCACTTTTTTCCCAATATTGCGCGATGAAGGTACACTTTCGTTGGCTAAACAGTTTTGCGCAACGAAATGCTTGTCACATCCCGGTCCGGGCCCCCACCACATTCCGGGCTCAACTCCACCGTAACACGATATTGTCCGCTTTGATCCCCGACCACGCCCTCACGGTTTTGTTTCTGGGAACTCACACGAGAACTTCCCAGTAGGTCACCCATACTGGGAATGCTCTCGCCCCGTACTCGCATAACTTCAGAGTTCCTACGAAACCCGAAGCCAGTGAGCTCCCAAAATGCCTCGTGTTAGGTAGAGATGAGAATATACATATAAGGCTTACATGATCCACTCCCCTGAGCAATGTGGGACGTTACAATGCTTTGTCGCGCAAAGTCCCGTCGCACAAAATGTCCTTGCGTAACGCTTAGTTGTCAACGTTGTGCAAAATGTCCTTGTGCAACGTAATTTGCTCCATCGCGCAAGTTTTTGTCATGCAAGTGTGTTTTTGTACTAGTGCGGAGACATTTTGTTGAGTGGAAAGAGTCAAGGCAAGTGGACAGTTGGTTATTTCTTTAGTTCATATCATCCAAAAATGTATGTACAAATGTACAAGATTTTGCCTTCTTCAACTTGCCGGCGTCATACTCTTCACAAATATGCATGCTTTCCTTTGAGCAAAAGAAAAAGTCATCATCTAATTTCTTTATGTTTATGTAACCCAATAAAGGATAAGCACTCTTTTGTAACAAAAATAAAATAAAATAAAAAAATTGACAATCTCTTTCTTGTCAAGTAAACCAAAATCTAAATCTATTCAATCCCAGACATTGACAAAAGATGGTTGGAAAACTAGGAAAACCAAAATTTGAACTTAAAAGTTTTCCAACCACCAATCTCTGAAGTGATTCTACTGACTTCCAATCCAAGAATATTAAAATTTTATCAGATTTGGCATATACCTAATGTCTAAGGAATGCAATGGCATTGCTTGCAACAACAGAATAACATATACTTCAAAATTTCCTATTCTTGGCTTGAATTTAGTATCACTTTTGTTTGGACTGCTATGAAACCACCACCAATCTCGAGCGAACACCGATCAAACCCTAACATTTCAAAACTTCTATTTGCAGGCATCAATAAAAAATGTTAGCTTTCTTCTAGTCAACCCATGTGTTTTACAGTGTATGTACTAACCCATGTGTTTTACAGTGTATGTACTAAGTGCGAAAAGTCATCAACGTGATGCATTGAACATATATCCTTCTCAATGCTTACTAGATTTTTTCGAGGAGTTTATATAAAGAAGGCAATAAGGCTCATCCTCCCCACAAGGATGCTTGGTGTGAAGAAAAAGATGGATAGCAATCATAGCATAGCCAAAAAATGGAAGCACCTAAGCGGCGAAAACAAATGGGATGGGCTATTGGATCCTCTAAACATTGATCTCCGTCGATACATAATCCACTACGGAGAAATGGCTCAAGCTACTTATGATGCCTTCAACTCAGAGAAGACATCAAAGTATGCTGGAAGCAGCAGATATGCCAGAAAAAACTTCTTCTCCAAAGTTGGTTTAGAGAAAGGCAACCCTTTTAAGTATAATGTGACTAAGTTTGTGTACGCGACGTCACAGATTCCAATCCCTGAGGCCTTCCTCATTAAGTCTTTGTCAAGGGAGTCTTGGTGCAAGGAATCAAACTGGATGGCGTATATTGCTGTGGCTACAGATGAAGGGAAGGCTGTGTTGGGCAGGAGAGACATTGTGATTGCTTGGAGAGGCACTGTGCAGTCCTTGGAGTGGGTTAATGACTTGCAATTTAATTTGGTTTCTGCGTCAAACATACTTGGTGAGGAAGGTGATCCAAAGGTGCACCAAGGTTGGTACTCCATATATACTTCAGATGATTCACGCTCGCCCTTCAACAAAACCAGTGCCAGACACCAGGTAAGATCACATTCAATTTGAATTAACAGTCTGTAACATAACATGAATGCCAAGTTTGGTAAGAGAATATTACACGTAAATGAGATAATTTTTAATTTTTAATGTTATTATGACTACTGGGTTTTATGTATCTAGGTCATTGAAGAAGTTATGAGACTAATAGAGCAATACAAGGATGAGGAAATTAGTATTACCATAACAGGGCATAGTTTGGGTGCAGCAGTTGCCACACTAAGTGCAATTGACATTGTTGCCAATGGACTAAACAGGCCAAAGGACATGCCAAACAAAGCCTGCCCAGTTACAGCCATTGTGTTCGCCAGCCCTCGAGTTGGAAACTCGAACTTTGAGAAGGTCTTCTCTGGCTACAAAGATCTTCGAGCATTGCGCATTCGTAACGCTTTAGATGTTGTCCCTAACTACCCAATTTTATTGGGGTACTCCGACGTGGGAGAAGAGTTGAAAATCGACACGCAAAAATCCAAGTACTTGAAGAGTCCTGGAGGAGTAGCGAGTTGGCATAACATGGAAGGGTACTTGCATGGAGTTGCGGGAACCCAAGGGAGTAAAGGAGGGTTCAAGTTGGAAGTCAAGCGTGACATAGCACTGGTAAATAAAAGTGTTGATGCTTTGAAGGAGGAGTATCTTATACCGGCGTCGTGGCGTTGTGAGGAGAACAAGTGTATGACCCAACTGGAAGATGGTTCTTGGGTGCTCAAGGACCATGAGGATGATGATGATCAATTCTGATTACTTTAGATTCTTGATTTCTTGAGTGGATTTATATTTAGAAGATATCAGTTATGTGTGTGTCTTGGTTGCTCTGTCACATGATATATATGTTGGATTTGGCATTAAATAAACATGCCTAAACTAAAATAACAATCAAACAAGGATTAAGATATCTTGGATGCAAGATATTTGGATTTGCGTTTCCTAGTTGGTTTGGGATTTGGTTTTAGTATAGGATTTGGTTTCCTATATTCTAGGGACTTTGTGTAAACCTATGACATCTATTAGTATAAATAGATGGATGTGGAATAGAGTTTTGTGTGAAAGTTGTGAGAGGCATAAGTTTGTATACTTAAGAACACTTTGTGTTTGTGAGTTCTCTTATATTTGTTGGTAATCAATAAAGCTTTTGTTGTTAGATAGATACTCCTATATTTGAGGAACTCTGATTGTGTTTTGTTTTATTGCTTGATTGTTTTTTGGTTTAGTTTACAACAAGTGGTATCAAGAGCTTAGGTTCTTACGTGGGTTGTGACTATCAAGCAATAATGAAGACTGGAAATTCTACCAGTGGTGATGATGTTGAAGCAAAGTCTGGCATTAGTGGAACCAGGACGACGGCTCAAAGTGCTAGGTTTGAAATTGAGAATTGAGAGGGTTCATGAAATCGGGAAAAAACACAGAGAGACGATGACAGAAGGAAGAGGTACGAGGGAGTTAGTTTGGGTACTTTTTTTTTTTTTTCAAAAATAAGGTAAAAAAACGCCTCTAACACCCTAAGGGGCACTCCGGCGATGCCTTCCGCCCATTCATGCAAAACTAAGGCGGCAACCCACCCGTCCAGCCTTCGAGGCCGCCTAGGCGCGCCCTGAGGCAAGTATTTTAACACACTGCTTGCATCTCACTACTTATGTTAATTTATTTAAGGGTAAATTACATTTTACCCCCTCAATTATGGACAAATTACAACATCATACAACATCTTTAAAACATTTCAATTTCATACATTTACTATCATTTAATTTTAATATCATATGTTCCGTTAAAAAATCCGTTAACTCAATCGTTAAGTGATGACATAGCACACATGGATTCACATCACTGCTTATGTGGCTAAAAAAAACAAATAAAAAAATTAATTAATAAAAAAAACACATTGGGCCCCACCACCCATCCATCCACACCTTAAATCATTCCCCTCCGTTCGTCCCCTTCGTTCGTCCCATCCCTTCACCACCAAAACCTCAACTTCCCCCTCTGTCTGTTCTCCCTCCGTCCGTCCCCCTCCCTTCACCACCAAAACCACATATGCACCCTAATTCCTTCCCCTTCCATCCGTCCCCCCGCCTTCACCCCCAAAACCACATATGCACCGTTGTCCTCTAATCCAAAACCCTCGAAATCACACCCAATTCTCTACAATTCATCTTCTCTCTCTGCAATTCAAGCTCGTAAAAACCCTAATTTCAACTTCCCCAACCCAAAGTTTCCCCCTCTATCTCTGTGATTCAAGCTAAAAACCCTAATCTTCTCTCTCTGCGATTCAAGCTCGTAAAAACCCCAATTGCAGTAAACCCTCTTCCGTTCTTGTACCAAGCAACTAGGGAAGCTTGGTCATCGGGCTCGAGTGCTCTGTGTTGCTCAAGGCAGTGAGAGATCTGGGAGTGGATTGGAGCCTCGTCGCAATGGGGGTTCGTGGGTCGGGTCTAACTTGAGCACTGAAGGGTTTAAAGGGTGGTCCGGTTCGAATAAGGGGAAGAGTCATTGGACTCGCAGAGCAAGAGCTGGAATAGCTGGTCCACCTCTCCAGGCTGTCCGCGCCCAGACTGTCCCCAAGTGCATCAAACACCGCGCCGAGCAACCTCAGCTCCGCCAAATAGCTGCCTGTGACGTCTTACAATCAGCGATGCTTCCAGTGGACCACGGTGGCCTTGCTCGGTCAGATTCCGAGTTGTATCAGATCGATTATGCTCTTGATTTTGCGTTCCAGCGGCTGACAATTTCCCCATTGTTCTTGAATTTGCTTTCTATTTTCCATCTTTTTTTTTTTTTTTTTTTTTTATGGGTTTCAACCAAATGGGTTTGCTTGATTCGGGGTTTTTGATTTAGGGTTGTTTGAATTGGACTTTTTGATTTGGCGTTTGATATGGGGCCGTTTGGTTTGCACGAGTCTTGGCCGAGCTTTGGTTCTGACGAGGAAGAAACAGAGAAGGGAAAAAAGGTAATGGTGCTGGAGGAAGATAGCAATGATGGTTCACTGAGAAAGAAGCAAATGTGATGGACGAAGAAGATGGTCGGCGAAGGAGATGGAATTATTGTACAAAAACATTGATTTTAAATTTTTTTATTTATATGCTGTAAAGTTAATAAAATGTTGTACGAAGTTACAATTAAATACAAACCTGAAGGGATAAAATATAATTTACCGTTATTTAATTGTCGGTCTGTAAAAGCAACAACAAAAAATTAAAAGACGAAATTGGAATGGAAATTTCAAAACTTTTAGCATGACCAAATTAGATTGAACAGATAATTCCTTCAAAGTCTACTTCTCTTCAGCATTTGTCATGGGTAAAATGGTTCTTTCCTCTTTTTTTTTTTTTTTTTTTTTTTAAAACAACTGGAGGGATTGGAATTCAACGGGGATGTAGCTCAGATGGTAGAGCGCTCGCTTAGCATGCGAGAGGTACGGGGATCGATACCCCGCATCTCCATTTAACTTTTTTTTTTTTTTTTTAATCTTCTCACCACTAAAAGAAGAAAGTATCAAAGTCAACCATACTTTTTGTGGTAAGCAATCCCGGAAACGAAAATTGGACCACCACGAGAAACATGTCTTTGTGGTTCAGTCTCTGAAAGAAATGGATTTTACAGAATACTGAACTAGTCTAGTAATTAGCTAGATTAATGTTGCTTTGTTTACTGCTACTAACACGAGAAAATACGCTGTCATTGAATTGTCTCGTGTCTACAACGCTTGTCACAATAGTGTTATTTGATTCTTATTACAAAGTGAGGAGAAATTTTAGAATCTAACTTTCGAACCACGTGTTCATGCGGACTCTAGACATAAAACCATGTAATAACCCCACCCTCCTCAAACCAACCTATAACTCACCACCTCTGCCACCTACACCCAAGACCATCACCAAAATGAGGGGTTAACCATTTAAATTGGCGATTTGACGACTCAAAGCAAAAGCATGACATATGGTTGATACTGATTGACTTTGATTTTATATTAGGCCAATCGTATTATAGACAAATCAATCAATGTACCATTTGTAATTTGTCTAACGCAATAATTAAACATTGTATAAGTTAGAGGGGCTGGTAAACGGCCATGGGTCAAGCTTATTTTATTTTTGTTAGTATGGATGTTTTAACGTTAAAAAAGATTTCAAGTTCGAACCTCGCATTTCTTTTCAATTTATTAAAATAATAATAATCATATGATGAAAATGAAGTAAATGATCATATCTATAAGATTGGTGATTCGGGGAAGTGATCACATCTACTGGACGCATAGAGCCTAGGGGTGCGCGGTAAAATGGCCATGGATATAGTCTTGTGTTTGATGTTAGAAGAGAATCAACTTCAAAACCCTTGTCTCCCAAAATATAAATAATTATACGATTAAGGTTATTAAGCAACGACCAATCATGTACATTGAATAATGATGGTTTATCTTGTCCGCCTTAATTTTGTGTTTTTGGGGGGGGTGCAAGGGGGGACACTTAGAGCTTGGCTTTGAGTGTCGGGTTTTCTACCCCCTTGTACTTCCTGTTTGTTATTTGGTTGTTTGCCTGTTGTTTGGCTTTCATTGTCCTCTTTGGCATCTCTTGCCCTGGTTAATACATTTCCAGTTTCCAAATAAATAAAAAAAAAAAAAAAAAAAGGTCTCGTTTTTTATTTATCAAAGTACACGATCAAGACGAAGTAACTAATCATATATAAGCTAAATGGGTTTTGTAAACTGGCCATGGATCAAGCCCTTGGCAATGTAGCGATAAGCAGCTTCTGTTAAGTGAATTCCATCCCAGTTTACATAGGAAGATGGATCTTTACAGGCAGTTGATCCTATGTGTCCACACCTTGCTGAATTATTGAAATTGTATGGTCCTCCTCCTCCACAGCATGCCCTCAGAGTCCCACTTTTGAATCCTGCAAAAATTCAATAAAAAAATTACGATACTTAATACGATTATATAAAAATCGTAATTTTGATTTAATTCAATAAATAATTTCATACTTGTTGATTGATGAATGATTCTTTTTTAAATAAATAAAACAAAGATGTAATAGTTTTTTTTCCACAACATAGATGTGATATATAGAACTTACCATAATGTTGAGGGGCATGGAAAAAGGGCATGGCTGCGCCATAGTAGTCAGCATATATTATGTTTACATGAGGGTATTTCTGTCTCAGTGTTGCTAGGGCACGTTTGAGCTCACTGTTATGGTATTTGGAGAAAGTATTGAAAGCCTTCAAACACCCATTTCGTTTATCGTAATAAGATCTGTTAGGGGTTTGAAACAAAGTCAAATATACGGCTGAACACCCAATTGGCAAGTTTCCAGGCACCAACAACTCCACTGCTCCTTCTTCTATCAATGCCTGCCACAAGTCCCCAACTAATTAGGTTAATCATGTGACAAATTTTTGTGTACAATGACTTTTAATGACTAATATATACAACGATATAAGTATGAGACGCTTGTCCATATGTAGATAACTACATATTGTTAGATGTTAGTACCAAACGATGCATGATGTGACGAATGGTATATATGATGACTAATTGACTATTATTGATATATTATTACTGATGTGACATACACTGGTGGCGTTAGTAATTGCTCCAACAACATATGGTACTGAAGCTTTGAGCTGTTTAATGTTGCCACCGACAAAGAAAGCGTAATTGTAATCGTTTCCACCTATCTCCCCCACCAGAAAGAGAGTCTTCTTGAAGTAGTTGTCACACTCTGAAAAATAAGCAAATAAATAAATGTGAATTAAGTTAGTAATTTAGATTACAGATTGAATTGTTACCTTGTTTGGTGCTGCAAAGTGATGGCTTCAGCTTCTTGAACCAACCAAGCTGAGTGCTCAAAGAGTCATTCGTCCACATAGCTAGTCCGATTTTTCTTTGGTAGAAGAATTCTGGGTCAAGTGCAGTGGCTCCAGCAACAGCAAAGTTCACTCCATGCTGAATATCTTGGGTTTTGTTCAGTGCTAGGTAGGGTGGCAAAAGTGGCAACCCAAATGCCTCAACTAAAACAGTATCAAATGATTTATTTTCATATATCTGTGTTGCTTTTGGAGTTGTTATTAGCATGCAGTCCATTAAGAGCAATTTTATTCATACCAGTTTTATCGACATGAATTGTGTTTACAGAAAGTAACTGACAAATTAAGGGAGGAGGAGGAAGAGGAGAGAGTTACCAATGAAATCGACGACAAGCCGTCCATCGGAGCAGCGACCGGTTGCGTGTTGAAAAAAGGTCTCTCCATAAGGGAGCTTTCCGATGACGGGAAATGCAAGGGCACCGGAGAGAAGGAAATTTCCGGTGTCGCTGAGGGAGTCGCCAAAGTTGAATATTGCCTGGTAGGGTTGAAGACTTGACGAGACTAGAGTGCTCAAACACAACGTGAGGCATGCAGAGGAGACTACAAGGATATTAATCAACTTCATTTTGTAATGTTTTGCCAATTCGATCGGAGTTTGTTTGTGTTCTTTGTGAATATATACTACTTTTTTCTAGCTACATGCATGGTTAATTAATGATGCTTTTTTAGCAGTTGGAGCTTTAAATGTTATACAAGTACATTCAACTAGATATTTGGCTGGAGTTTATGCCATTTATAGCAGCGGTCATGTGAGTTATGAGCAGGAGCAGAAGTGTCCTCCTTACCCATACAACGGACACTAAAGCAAAAATGGCTTCAACACCATTGATATTCAAATGTCGTAAATACTAAGATTACTCTAAACTATATATCATTGGAATGAATTTAAGCTTATTTTGTTGTTGTTTCCAAAAAAAAGTTATTCTATTGTTTTGGATTGTATTGTGAGTTAGGATTTGCGCCTAGTTTCATTTCCTTGCCTAGCTGTTAGAGATTAGGGTTAGTTCTATATTGATATAGTGTTATGTAACTCAGTTAATAACAAATTAGTCACAATGCAGTCTTTTAGTTTGTAGCTGTCATGGTAATATTTCTTTTTAGCTAATAAAATTGGTTAAGTGTTTGTAGTTGATTTCTTCAATTTTGGTTTGATATTCCTCGTTTGTTCCTCACACTCTGATTTTCAAATCATACATCCAACACTAAAGCCTTCATGAACTAAGTTGAACCCTCTGTATATCAAAGTTAGCGTTAACATATATAATACATAAAAGTACATACGTGCATATATACTGTCCAATTTGGGTATATATAGTACAATTTTAAAAATCATGTAAGTTAATGAATTATACAGTACTATACGGAAACTAATAAAACTATTTTAAAAATAAGTACGTATAATATGCGTATCATACACTAATTTACTAACTAGGGTGTACATCAAATTGGGATGTGGAGTATCTAATTCAATCTTTGAAACTTATATTTAGTTGACAAAGAATAAAAACGTGTACTGTATTTGGGAAATGAGAGGTTTTTTTTTTAGTGCTTGGAGGCTTCTTTTTGTTTTTCGTTGTTGTCTATAGACACTTCATTAGCTAGAAAGGGGCAAGAGCTGAAAAAGAAAAAGAAAAGCAAAACATGCAATGTTTAATTTGGGATATGATGGCTTCAATTGGAACATGGAGGCTCTAGTCATGAAGAGGATTCTCTCCAGATTCACTTTGTGGAGATCCTAAGAATTCCCACATCATAACCATTCATCGTATATCATGCGATCAATTTTCGTCAGATACTATTTGTGTTTAATTTTAAATAAAAAAGTCAAATGATTTCTGACTGCACAATGCACGATGAATGGCTAAGATGTGAGGATCCCTAAGATCCCTATAATTTGGATCCGGATGGGATCCAAATCCCTCTAATAATTCACCCAATCAAATTAATGAAAGAGCAATGCTAGGTAGACTAAATTTGTAAATTAAATTATGTCTCACTAATAAGAAATAAGCACGTTAATAATACTTAACTAATATTAATTCAATTATCAACTCCCATGTCTTTATAACATTAGTCTACAAATTTAGTTTCCCTAACATTAGCCCATTACCCTTAATGAAATGATGCTTTTTTACATGATACAAGTGACATGTGTGGAGGGGGGTTTGATGATAACATGACCACCGGTGCAAAACCAAACACGCTTAATTACTTGAAGTATAAGCCCCTTAAAATAATTATTGATGGGATCTAAGTCTACTAAGCGACATCACCAAATGGCACAAGATAATTTCTCGTGTGATATGAATGGCAAAATAAATCTGTAGGCCAAATCACTGTTGTGAAACACAGGAGGTACTAATGTGGGGAATGGTGTAAATTCCATTTAATAAGGCCTTGGTTATCCACTGGTTTGCTGCTTCAGTAGTGTGCCGACCGTCCCAGTTGATAGACTTTGCAGGGTTTGCACAAGCACTTGCTCCTCGAAGACCACATGGTGCTGATAAGTTGTAATTGTATGTCCCTCCTCCTCCACAGCATGCTCTGGAAGTATTCTCTGTAAATCCTGCAATGAGATGAATCCGATGATGAGATCACCGAGAGGTTCAACATTTGAAACACTTCAAATAGTCATGTATCTTAATAATAATTGTAAAATACTTAAAAACATTACGGTCGTTTGATGATCATGCATTACGTTTTCATTTTTCAATTTTTTTAATATTAACTAAATTGTAGCAAACGAGTGCTAGAGAGTTGCAGTACCAAATTGTTCTGGAGACTGATACAATTGTAGCTCAGCATTGTAAACATCTCCATAAATGATGTTGACATGAGGATGAAGGCTTCGAATCTGACTTAACTTTGTCTTAAGTAGCTCATTGTGATACTCAGAAAACTTGTTTAACCAAGTAAGACAGCCAGTTGACGGGTCGTATTCACTCTCATCTGAACCCTCATATAAGGTAAGATAAGCAGGAGTGCAACCAATTGGAAAGTTGCCTGGTACCAAAAGTGTCGATGCCCCATGCTGAATCAACTCCTGCAGAAATAAAAAAGTAGAAGCACCAGAAGCTTACATTTCTTAAAAAAAAAAAGTAAAAAAAAAAAATCCTGTAGAGCTCCAGACGAAAAAAAATATATTTCGAACGTTTTAACCTTTAAATTTTGATTTTTGTGTTTAAGAAAAAAATGTGCTATTGAAAATCCCACATTTCATAGCCAATATTGTAAGAAGGATGCATAACTAAAAGCAGTTATATATGATATTCCAACTCGTACATTGATGGCTGAAGCCATTGCTTCTATCACGAACGGAACATATGTTTCAACAATTTCAAAACTCTCTCCTGCGAAAAGCGGACAGTTGTAATCGTTGCCTCCAATCGGTCCCATAACAATAAGAGAACTTGAAAGGACATTCCTGCAGTCTGTAAATTAAAGGTAAAAAACGTAAGTACATCATATCCAAGATGAAACCTTCAGATTTAGTTCACCAAGTTCAATTATTGAAGTTCTTTACCGAAAAGAGCAAGAAAAAAAAACGTTGACATTGTAGTTGTTTATATGTTATTCATATCATGTTTTTATATCATGTTTCTATATCATTTTAGATGGCATTTAATGTGGACAACCAAATCATTTGAATTAATCAGATTTTTAAATTTAGTTCATTATTTAATAAACTAATAATTAAGAAAAACTAGTTAATTAAATGATGATTGTGGTATAGATGAGTCTTTCTCATTCATTTCATTGGATTTTGCAAATTTTTCAAATAATATAACTGTTCACATTAAATGTTAGCTAAGATAGTATGAAAACATGGTAGAAAAACATAGCATGAATAACATTACTTTAAAAGAAAATAAAAGAAAAGTTCGTTTATAGAAGTTGTTACTTCTGTGGCATTGGCAATTGTAGTCAATCACAAAAGCAATGGGGACCAGAAACGCTTTCAAAGGTCAAAAAAGAGAAAGAAATGAAAGGGAATTTGTTTCAAAAAAAATAAAAAATAAAAATAAAGAAATGGAATTTAGATGGAGGGGAATGATGGCCACCTTCTTTATATTTTATTTGCACCATTGCACTTTATTGGTTGAGTGCCCGCTAACTGTTTAATGAAACGGGAAATAATAACTACACATTTTATTAAAAAGAATTTATACAGTCATATTTAGTCATGTTTATTATTTTGTTTGATTTATTTAACCTCACAGATAAAAAAAGAAGAAGTGTGCTAGAAACTGAAACTAAGATAGATGGTGAGTAGGGACTATCAATATCAATGTACCATGTATATGTTGCTTTCAAAATTAATACCGGTGCATTATGTAATAAAAACTAGCCTGAGTCCACACACTTTGTGTGCAAGAGCAATTTGTTTGCTTTTTTTTTTTATTTTTATTCGTGTTTGTTCTGCAGGGGTGTGGAGTTAAGAAGAGAGACGTAGTGGAGTGAGATGGTTTGATGACATGTGGGTGAAAGAAGAGAAAAATGCAAAGTTATTTTAATGCCCATGAATTTTCTTTTATGATAGGGGAATAGAGGAAAAAATCGTCTTTTTGCCATCCTTTAGTTAAGACAGAGAGTTTTGTTAATAGATAATATAGATAAAAAGTTAAAATCAAAGTTCTCTAACAAAAAAAAGATCCTTCAGTGTACATGTCACATCTCAGCCTAGGCCTCTACCACATCCCGGGCCCAGCTCCGCCGTAGCACGATATTGTCCGCTTTGGGCCCCGACCACGCCCTCACGGTTTTGTTTCTGGGAAATCACACGAGAACTTCTCAGTGGGTCACCCATCATAGGAGTGCTCTCACGCGCTACTTGCTTAACTTCGGAGTTTTCATGAAACCCGAAGCCAGTGAGCTCCCAAAAGGCCTCGTGCTAGGTAGAGATGAGAATATACATATAAGGCTTACAGGATCCTCACCCCTGGGTGATGTGGTGGACATTCCGGGTTGGGGCGTGTCAGATTGGTATCAGAGCCAATCCCTGGCCGAAAGTGTGCAGACGAGGACGTTGACCCCTAAGGGGGGTGGATTGTAAGATCCCACATCGCCCAGGGGTGAGGATCCTATAAGCCTTATATGTATATTCTCATCTCTACCTAGCACGAGGCTTTTTGGGTATGGGAACTCCGAAGTTAAGCGAGTAGCGCGCAAGAGCACTCCCATGATGGGTGACCCACTGGGAAGTTCTCGTGTGAGTTTCCAGAAACAAAACCCTGAGGGCGTGGTCGGGGCCCAAAGCGGACAATATCGTGCTACGGCGGAGCTGGGCTCGGGATATGGTAGGGGCTTGGGCAAGGATGTGACAAATTGGTATCAGAGTCAATCCCTGGCCAGAAGTGTGCCGATGAGGACGTCGGGCCCCTAAGGAGGGTAGATTGTAAGATCCCACATCGCCCAAGGGTGAGGATCCTATAAGCTTTATATGTATATTCTCATTTCTACCTAGCATGAGGCCTTTTGGGAGCTCATTGGCTTCGGGTTCTATAGGAACTCTGAAGTTAAGCGAGTAACGTGCGAGAGCACTCCCATGATGGGTGACCCATTGGGAAGTTCTCATGTGAGTTCCTAGAAACAAAACCGTGAA